ATCATGAATAATGATGGTATGGTAATTTCAAGTTTCTTTTTTACTTCATTTCCTTCATCTTCAACTTTCTTTTTACATCGACTGAGGCAAGTTCAGAACTTCAGAGCCTGTTTTAGTTTACTTTAAGTATGTTAAAAAAACTTGTACTGGAATCTCTAGGAATGCCGGGATCTTCTGGCAAGTTTTACTTTCGTTTTCTCCTCCAGCCAGCGTACCCGCCCCCATGCATAGATCAATGCTGCGCGCACATCCGCAAGTTACAAGTGCCTAGAATCTAGAATATACTTCTAGAATATTGCTTCTAGATATCTAACTGAATAAAATAGTGTCCACTTTCTACGTTAAGAAAAGTGACGAATTCAGTTAACAGCTTTTGATTACGTGCATGTCAGGTGTCACTGGTCGTTGCCCTCACTCCCCACGATAACCCCTGGCGAATAAAAACTTATTGTTAATGTGGTCATAAAACCTGGGCTGCCGCGATGTAGCAATCGATTTCTTAGACTGTCCCGAGTTTTTGTAACTTGTGGCGAATCATGCGTTGATGCGTTGCGTGTGGCGGCGATTTCTAGTCGCCCCGCCGGACCAGCTGACACTAGCAAGCAGTCGCCCGTCAATTTTCTAATCGCGCACTGGCGGACTGGGCGACCGCTAGTTTCTCACGCTGTCGCACATGGTGTTTTGCCATAGCAACCGTTAATATGCAATTGCAGGCAAATGCCATGTGTTTACACTTACCAATTACTTATCATGACCATTTGTATGTGATGAAGGCGAGAGTTAACATCGTCATCACTCGGCTTTGTTAGCCAAACAAAAACTTCTTCGGGAGATTAACGTGCGGGAGACGCCATCCCTGACGCGCCTCCTTCAACTAGCTGTGTTGCGAATTTAGAGGGTGGCCTCGCCAGAATACGGTAACTAACGTGAAAACCATGTCGTGGAAAAGTACCAATTATGTCAAAACGAAGGAAGCTACGCGGTTTGTAAATACTACGCGAAGATAGAATAAGGACCAGTGAACAAAATAAGCTCATGTTTGTATACATTTGTATTTTTATTCACACTCGAACTCGTACGACAAAAGTTAGTGAATCAGTACCAAATCGTTGTCTTACTCCTTTGTCATTATACGCTCGCTGATATATATATAACAATGTATATATAATATATAATATAATATATAGGGTTAGGGTTAGGGTAAGTCAGAAAATAGCTAAACGAGCCAGGTCAAACAGAGGTCAGGGAGACATAAGACAAATTTGGCTCGAGTCGAGCGCTTCACAACGGACGGACGGACAAGCCAATTTGGTCCATCGAAAACGTCGAGCCAGGCCCGAGCCAAATTTTAGCACCAGAAACAGAAACAGAAATACACAGCGCTAATGCGTTGAGCGTAGATTGCGCGAGAGTGATACGTGTATGCTTCGACGAAATAAAGTCCAAAACAGTATACAAATTCGAAAAATTTGATCAGGATGCACGTATTCAAGATTGATAATTGAACTGCGAACGGAATAAACACTCTGAATCGTACACAACAGCCATCTCGGACATACTGCCAAAGTGTCTGTGAGATATTTGTGCAATAAAATTTATTTGAATTGAATTTGAATTTGACAGAAGTATTCACTTGCGTACGTGTGAACTCAAAACCGCCTGAGCCAAATTTAGCCCGAGCCAAAACCATGGACCGTTGAACGGCGGTAATATAGACCCTAGGCTACGGCTACGGGCTTTAGTACGATAGCCCGCGTACTGTTGCAGCAGGCCTGCGGCAACTGTACGTGGGCTATAGTACTAGAAGTAGCTAGTCCATGCATGATATCCTATCCAGTGCTCGAAATAATTTAAAAAATGTAGGTTGTCCTGGCGGACAACCCAGGCATCAAATCGGGTTGTCCGCAAACAATTCTGGTTGTCCCAAAAAAATATCCCCAAATCTCCTATTTTCAATCATAATAATATGGTCAGAAAACACCCACAAAAACAGTGGTGTAGCGCAGGATTTTTTAACAAGGGTGGCCAAAAAACAGGGCAACGCGACAAATAGTGATTGACTTAATATTTTAATGGTCCTCCCGCCTCCCTCTCCACTCATATCGGCTCCTCTACCTTTTCTGCAATCTTTGTTTTGGGTTGCCATGTGAAAAGGCGACATTTTTGTTCATTGTTCTCATGTTCCGCAAGATATGTAATTGTCAGTGGCGTCTGGGATTTCAAGGAGGGGGTGAAAAACAAGCGTGGGGTATGGTCCTCCCCCATAAAATTTTGAAAATGTAGATCGCAGGAGATGGTATTTGCAGCACTTTGAGTACATGTACAGCCTTCATTCTGACTACGACAATTCTCTTTTTTTTAACTTTCGGATCAATAATGAAATCCCCATTGCATGTTGTTTGTTTTGCATGGGCAAAGATCGAAAAATTCAAAATAATAATGGAATAAAAATACCAAAATGTAGGGGTGAACTTGCTGGTTGCTGGTTCCGAAATCGAGTTCACCTCTCATAAAATCAGAAAACCTGACATATACCAGTGTTGAAATAGCAGCTGGTATGCGTCGCCTTTCCCACACCATAGATTAATTGCGGGCCGTCAGGCTAATAAGTGCTCTTGGAGAACTCCTGAGAAACACATAATAAAGTGCGTTTTTTCGTCAAACTTTTTTCTTGGTTTTCCACCGACACTGTCTCAGGACTGGTTAGGTTGTTCCGCACAAATTCTGGTTGTCTCGGACAACCGGACAACGCTTATTTCGAGCACTGCTATCCTAGACTAGGCAAACCAATTCAGTGTAGTGACTTCTACTTCTATACTGGACAGTCCGTAAGGAATAAACGTCCAGGGCTATAGCTAGCTCCAAGAAACGGTCTTTGCTAGGGTTACCCGGTTAGTAGGCACGAAGGGTCGTTGTCGTAACAGTACTACAGATATGTACCCGAGGCAGTTTTAGGTGTTTAGTATTATGTTTATATTATTTATATGAAGGTATTTTAGGGTGTTAGGGTTAGGGTTAGGGTTAGGGTTAGGGTTAGGGTTAGGGTTAGGGTTAGTGTTAGGGTTAGGGTACACTTCTGTAGTACAAGTCTGGTACACTTTGTGTATACATATATGTACCTCGGGTACATATCTGTAGTACCTGTTACGACAACGACCCCTTGAGCGTTAGTAGGTCGTTTGTGTATATTGCGTTAGTCACGCAGCCTGCTCGGGCTAGCTATAGATAGCCATGGGGTGTGACCTAGCTTGGGTAAAGCCATGCAGGTAGTTAGCCTTTTAGCTGAATGGCACTGAGGTACGTGATCACTGCCAGAGTTTTTTTGCGCCTTCAGTGACAGTGGTACTCAGGCCTCGAATTAAGTGACGAGAGGGGCAAGGCAATTTTTTTGGGGCATGTGAGAAATTGCCTTGAATTTTTTCTAAAATGGATGGGCACTGAGGCAATTTTAAAAGGCATCAAGGCAACTCTCACAATTTGAGAAGGGCACCAAGGCACTTTTGTAAAATAAAGGAAAACTCATAACAAATTAATACATCAACCTCTGCGAATGGAAGTACAGTAACAGGGTTCAACGTTAACTTTTTATTTCACTAGACCATCGGGCTAGTAACTGAGGAAAACCACTAGCCCTGACCTAACTCACTAGGCCAGACCCAGACCATTGTTATGAAAAACTTTGTGTCATCGTATGAATTCTACTAAAATTTTTCTAAATTTACAGCTGGCCATTCTTGCGCGAGCGTCGTTTCCCGCGCTTTAAATCGCGTGCGGGTCGAGCCCACGTGCAGCATTTAAATATTCGTGTTCTACCACGGGCATACACAGGCGCACGATTTATCGATTGTCTACTGGCAGCGGTTGGCAGCAAGCCACGTTTACGGTTATTGTTTTTGCCGAAGGGTAGACTGGTATCCGGCCTCACGCTCTGCTAGACAATGTACACGCTCTGCGACAAACAGTGCGGCCGCGAACCAGTTTAGCCAGAGGCACCGACGGCAATTAGAGAAAAGGGCAAGGCAGGTCACTGCCGTCGGTCGGGTTGGATTTTCAGGGGCAGTACGGCGATTGATAGGGGCACCGACGGCAATTGTCGTTGGTGGCTCGGTGCCGTCGGTTAATTCGAGCCCTGGTGGTACTAGTGATGCCAACAGTGACTATAGTGGCCCTGTGGGCATGATTTCCCTCTCGTGATTTAGTTAGTGTATCTCAGAGTCGAAAAGGCATTTTGGTAGGTCTTCTTCCCTGGCAATCGTCGAATCGAAATTAAAATATATTCATATTCATCGTTTTCGTTATTTATATTTAGTTCCTTGGACTTTGAAGACTAGCCCTATTACTTACGACTACGAGATTACGAGGTATTCATGATATATTCATATTTGTCCTCAGCACTGCTGACAGAAGTGGACATTAGGAAATAATTACTACGTACTAATCCGTGTTCAAACATGTATGATATAGCTAGTATACTACAAATATACATTACTGAACTTTAGACTAGTGTTTGTGATGTCTGGCAAACATTCATAAGATATTGTCTGGTAAAGTTGCGCACACAGTCCAAGCACTAGTGCGTTATTAGAAATGAAGTTTGTTGGTGTTACAAAACAACTACCGGTACCCAACTTTGAATCCCGACAAAATGATATTTAAAAAATCCTAGAATGTGTTCGAGACTAAGTTCTATGTCGAAATAACTCGGCGAATCTACAAATACCTTTACTATAGTGCACAGCATTGTGGGTGGAAAACTCTACCCTAAACTCTATATATCCTTTTCCACAGGAAACTAAAAGAGAGAAGTTGTGAGCTTATGATATTACATGTGACTGACTGTAATCACAAAACCGGTCAATCTACGAAAATCCTTGATGATAGACACACGTACAGTGGAAAAAATTTATTTCTGGAAATTCGATAGGTGATGGATGGAACCAGGATGTTATGTTAACTATCTGAAATCTGTGTAGACTAGCCTTTAAAAAGCAAAAGAAACTGGTTCGCAATATTTCGCCTGCGAGGGAGAGTTGAACCCTATGGAAACACCATCACATCCAGCTTCTCATTTCTATTTGGGCACTTTGACTACTTCAAAACATGAACTTAGCCAAAAAAGTGCAGAAGGTGAAATTTCTGCTAGCAGTGCTCAGACAGTGATTATCAGCGGTGGCAAGATGAAGACGGTCCGTACATCAACGCCTGACCTGGTTCGCCAGATGGAGTACTTTGAATCTAGCGTTGGTAACGCGACCACGTACATGCACGTGTTTAAGGATGATTGGGGTGCGGCTAACACACAGGATCGTTCTGACACTCACATTGTGAATCAAACTTCGACCGTTGCCGCAACGAGTAGCTGTGTACAGCAGTCCACCTGTTCGCACGTACGCACTGATTCAATTGATGGATCAGACTCGACGAGAACCTTTCTGAAGTTTGCAAAGCAGCGCAGGGGTAGAGTTAAGGCTGAAACTCTACGCCCCATGGGGGTGAGAGCCAGAAGGAAGATGGAACTGGACTCTTGTGCTGAATGTTCTAAGAAAGCTGGTATGCCATGAAACATAGGTTTATATATATATATGCGTCATGCGTGCATGCATATATGTGATAATGTGCCGTTTGTTTTACATTACCATTGTGTGATAATTCATTTATTTAAAATACCGTACTTGCTGAAAACCCCATTTATTATCCTGTACAGTATTTATTTAGTTTGTGATGGTAACTTTTTTGCTACACATTTAAATTGTTTAGCCCCATATGTATATTTATGCCTATTATGCGCAACTGCTATGTCATTATAGAAGGTAACCCATGTGAAGAGACATCAGCAGTGGAATCAATGCAAGCCACCACAACGTATGCACCTGCTGCTAGCATCAAAAGAGGACAGTATAGATCAAGAATGATGGTATGAGACTGTACTAGTTAGCCCTTAATAAACAAGCCCACCATTTGTCCACACAAATTATGTAAGTACTACTACCGTTGTATTAGTTGTACAAATCAGGCAATCCTGATTCCAGATGCACAAAGTGGCTACGCATTTACCTACTGCTACCACTCACCAACAGTGCTAGTCAGTGCTGACATTCTACTAGCGCTTGCAAGTTTAGACTAGCCACGGGCGAGCGGGCTAGTGTTTGTTTCAAGCCCCGTTTTTTCTAGGATTCTGCGCGCCCGAATCACTCTTACATGCACCTTATCAGGCTGGCTCTAATCGCAGCGCCGTCCGGCAAACTTACCTTAAGAGAAATCTACACGTGGATAGAGCAAAACTTTCCATACTTCAAGACCTGTTCTCAGGGATGGAAGGTACATCTGTGTATCATATATATTATTTTCCCTTTATTCTCCAGATAAGTTATCATAATATAGAGATGTATCGTATAAATTGTCTAGTTAAATTTTTAGGGGGTGATATATAGCATCGTTTCAGAAGATACGATGTAACTGTAATAATCGTGTAACCAGTAAACCACCACAATGCTCCGTCTCGTATGTAATAGTATAGTGGGAGAAATTTGCAGGAATACAGGCATTGTTGATAAATTGGTGAGCAAGGTATTTTTTACAAAGGTTACGATGGTGAAAGCTCTTCTGTGCTAAATATGACGGTAACAGTCCTGAGCGTCTTAATATCCTCTATATTATGACACTACTGAGGGTAATACCTATTCGCAGAACTCCATTCGACACAATCTCTCCTTGTATGATCTCTTCGTGAGAGAACCACCGAGTTTTCCTCAGTCGTCGAACGGACCGTCGCTATGGAAACTCAACATGGCTGTCATGGCTGGCCAAGATAGCAAAGAGCGTGAGTAAAATATTGTATATATGTTCAGGGTTCTCCCTACGTTGCGCAAACGGGGCGCCCGCGCCCCGTTTGGGAAAACTCCCCCCTGTTTCAATCGTTGCGCCCCGTTTGAAATACCTCCGCCCCGATTAAATTCCACCACAATAAAAGTTTGACAGCGCGGGAATCAATCGTCAAGAATTCCCATTCGACCAGGACCACCGACGCGTGTATTTTTACCGTACCACGCATGCACTGCAGACCATACACAAGTACAAACAGTTAACCTGTACCGAACCCAACACTAACTGTACACCAACTCGGTTATCTACAAGAACCCCAAATACCGTCTATGGTGTGGTGGCGATTTTACGCATTAATTAGTGGTACGGTAAAAAAACACGCCCCCGGACCCCCCTAGTTTCCCCCCCCTCCTCCTCTCCCCTTCCCCTCCCCTCCCCCCTGTTTGAATTTCATCCTGGGGAGAACCCTGATGTTGTCTGACGTGCGATTTTGTAAATGTAGTATGTTAAGTGAATAAACTGTATGTTTTCACAAATTAGTATCTGCTAATTTCTGTAAAACAATTCGTGTCAGACAAAGGACAAAGTCACCTTGATTTGTCAACTGCTAAGATTTCAGTCCAACTCAACTGACATTTACTCCGATAACGTTTCGTACTGGAAAGTCAAGTGACAATTGGCACTCTGTCCTAGGATTGGCGGAGGCTGTGTCGCACCCGATCGCCACACCCGTGCTTCTCCCGAAGATGCACCTGGGTTCTACGCTGCTGGTGCCACTCACCTGTGTGCAGTTGGACAGTGTCGGAGGCTTCCAGCCCGTTGTCCAGCAACCCTCGCAGCAGCAGCTGCAGTCGCTACCGGTCGCCGGCGTCGGCCGCCACATCAGGGCGATCCTCCCCAAGCCGGCGTCGGCTGCGGCGTACGATCTGTCGACATATAACGCATCCCTCCGCATCGATTTCGGCGCGAGAGTGGTGACGGCTAGCCCTGCCATGGGCGAGCTGCTGTCAAACATGAAAGCCGCGCGCTATAACAACGCGCTCCCGTCCGCGCTGCACGCCGATCTCGTCGAATCGGCACCGCGCGTTCCCGCCGCGTCCTCGGAAGGAAGCAGGGCGCAGAGGACGAGAAGTGCAGCAAAGAGGAAGCCCGCGGCAGCCGGCGGCAGCATCCCGCGTGCTGTGACCCGCCCGCGAATCCTCCGCGGCACGAAGCGCACGAAGACGCAGCAGCGAGAGCGCGCGGAGGCGGTGGCGCCCCCTACACCCGACGACCCGACCCTGGCGACATCGGACAGCCTCTTCTTGTCGTCGTGGGACGGCGACGCGATGCGGCTCTTTGACTCGCCGCGTGTGGGCTGGCTGCAGCGGGAGCTCGCGACGCCGCCGCGCACGCACCGAATCAGCCTCACATCGACGCCGAGCCGCGGCCTGTCGCCCGTCTACCGGCGCGACGCCATCGCCGACAGCGGCATCTTCAGCGACGAGAACGCCACTTATCCGCCGCCGCCGCCGCATCGTTTCTCCTCCCTGTCGTGCGGCGGGGCGTCGCCGCCGTGGTGCCAGACGCTTGAGTCGTCGCCGCTGAACGTGACGGGGGGTGCGGTGACGGGGTCGCTGAGAGAGCTCGGCATCGTTGGCCTGACACCGGTGAAGCCGCGCTGCATGCTCAACACGAGTCTGAATCTGAGCGCAAACCAGAGCTTCTCGGACGTGCTGAGAGCGATTGAGCTAGACAACGGCTAGGTGGGAGAGGTGGTCAGGGTAGCAGGGTAGGAGAGATGGACGATGGCTAGGTGAGAGAGACGTGCTCAGTGCCTTTTAGCAGGGCAGGAGAGATGGACAACGGCTAGGTGGGAGAGGTGGTCAGGGTAGCAGGGTAGGAGAGATGGACAACGGCTAGGTGGGAGAGGTGGTCAGGGTAGCAGAGTAGGAGAGATGGACAACGGCTAGGTGAGGGACGTGGTCAGGGTAGCAGGGTAGGAGAGATGGAAAACGGCTAGCAGGGTAGGAAAGATAGAAAACAGCTAACGAGTTCCGAGAGGTGGACAATGGCTAGGTGGAAGACGTGGTCAGCACCTAGTAGCAGGGTAGGAGAGATGGACAATGGCTAGGTGAGAGAGGTGGTCAGGTTAGAAGGGTACGAGAGATAGACAACGGCTAGATGGGAGAAGTGATCTACACCTGGTAGGATCATAGTTATCGGGAGCATAGATCTAGCAAGTTCAGAGAGATGGATGATGGCTAGCAGAGTAGGAGAGATGGAGAATGGCTAGGTGAGAGAGGGGATCAGTGGCTAGTAGGATCAGTGTTAGCGAGTTCGGAGAGATGGACAACGGTTAGATGAGAGAGGTAATCGGTGCTTGGTAGGATCACAGTGAGAGCAGCTAGCAAGTTCAGTAGGAGAGGTGGATAATGGCTAGCAGGGTAGGAGAGATGGACAACGGCTAGTGGAGTCGGAAAGTGGACAGCATTTAGTGGGGTCAGGGAGATGGACTGAGGCTAGCAGGGTTAGGTACAGATGGATTGAGGTTAGCAGGGACAGAGAGATGTACTGGAGCCAGCAGGTCTAAAGAGATGGACAGAGGTTAGCAGGGTTATGCAGATGGACAGAGGTTAGCAGGTTCAGAGAGATTAATTTGAAGGTTTAGTTGGGTAGAATCAGAAGTAGATAATAGGGAATTCCGTATTATCTACTTCTGGTGGAATGTTGCTAGCAAGTGATATAAGTTTACCATGACTAACACGTGAAAGAGAAGGACAACGCCTAGCCTTTTGGAGAGAGACATACCGTTACCAGCAAGATCATGGAGGTATATATACTATATATACAATAGGCAGCTGATTCACAACAGTGATCAGGTAGCAAGACTAAACATACGCTAATAGGACAACGCATGTATTGGTTAGCTTCACCTGAAATGTTGATTAGTGATGCAAACTAGATGCAGTCGTTTCAGGCTATCGTTTCTTAGATCACTGCAGTTGTCATTAAACAGTAGCTATAAGTATGCACATTGTGAAAAGGCTACTGTGTAAGTAGATGTGTCCAGTGCATCTAAATTCTAAGAACAGCTATGCTTGTGCCTGAATGATGACAGTTGTAATGAAATGTGGGTTCTTGACACGGTGGAAGAATGCCTTTATTTATTTCACCCTTAATTTAATATACACTTGTTGATCAGGTTTTTCATTTGTTGCCCCGTGAATTATTGTTTTAATTCGTGCAGCTGTTTGAGTGTGTTTTGGCTCGTTCTTTACTAGTATAAGTATGATGTCATATTATTTGTGTAGACATCTCGGATAGATCAGCTAGGGCCAACACAAGGACATATTTTATATCATGCCATACCGTTGTATCTAATCTTTGAGCACTGGAAATGCACTGTATAAGATGTTATTTTGTGATTGCACTAAACATTTGTGATATCAGATGATCTGGTTTACAGTAAAGCAGCTTTTTTTGTTCACATATTTACATAATTGTTTTATCTTATGTTACAGGTGTTAGTCAGTTTTCATGCACACTCTACCCTGAGGGTCTTTCACAGGTAGCAGCTGCGGTTGCACTGTGAACACACGTGTGAACTACACGTGTGAACACGTAATTGACTAGAGCGTTTACATGATAAATATGAGAATCCCCTACACTATGTCTAAAACTTTCGAAATTCAAAACGTGAAGTGCTAAAGCATATGCTAAAGCATGAACGTATGCGTTCATTAATTCCATGATGGCATCAGTACGTATACGTAATAAAGATGTACTCTATCATATATACTCCTAATAACAGATACATTTAGCGTTCTTCGATATAAGTGAAATAATCATAGCACGTTACGTGTGATACTCAAAGAATTCAGAATTGCGAAAGAAAAGTACCATGCCAGAACATCGATTACAACTTGTGGAATTTTATTTGTTATAATATTCTATGTTTAATAATCACATATAACGTCAGCATTGGCCACACGCACGCACGCACAAATAAATATATACACACATTTTCTAGAATTTTACGCAGTCCAATTCATAGTTTCTGTCATATATTTGTTCAACCTTTACGCTTAATCCATATTTGAGGGAATTCTTTGCAAACGTGATTATAAAGCATCTATTTTAGATACCTCCGTGCCATGACTTAGTAATGAATAGAAATCAAACAACGTATACAAATAAAAATACGACCGATAAAATTATCACTAATTAAACCAAAGCTTGACGCAGTATTGGAACTTAGTGACGTCACACCATGTAACCGACGCTATATGATATAGTGCTATTACAATTAGTGGAGCGGTTAAGTGATATAATCTTTCAGTTGGTGATACAAGCATGAAAATTGTTATGAGCAGTCTATGGGTCACTTGACAAGAAAACGGTCCTATAGCCACTTGAAATTTCAAAATGGCGGCCATTTCCCAAGACGGCCGCCATCAGAATCTCTAAATTATACCTTTTCTAATAGAAATTGATTGGGTTTCCGATTAAGGAGGTTTTGGTGTCGTTTCCTATGTTTTAGACCATGCTGAAGCCAATGGTGTAAAAATAACCCACCTAAAATTCCAACACAACGTCCATTATCCAGGATAGCCGCCAAACCGCTCGGATCAAGTTGCCAAAATAAACCACACCAATTGGTAGTTAAAGTTCTCATCTTTTGTATGTTTTAAAAGTCTATAATTAAATGAGTATAATTTGCAGTTGTAGAGACACTTACCGTGTTATTTGGTTAATTAATGTTAATCAAGCTGTCAAAACATAAATGAGGTCATGCAAGTAAATCGCTTGACCCTAAGTCAACAAGGAAAATCTGTATAGGCTTCCACGAAATATGTATCTTTGTAATAGAATGAAACCTCTGATCCATATCCCCTGCCTTCATGCATGTGACGCAGTAAAGTGTCCTTTCTGATATCCGTCACACTGTGCCCATCTAGGTCTGGCAGGGGCATGGAACTGCATAGATATGTGCAACTGAGCCCATAGCTGTAGCACTTTCACTTTCCAGAACATGCCTTGGTGCACCCACATTTGGTCAACTCCCGACAATTCTCCGCAATAGGTGCAATAGCCTAATAGGTGTCCAGAAGATTTTCTTGTATCACCAACTGAACGATTATGCCTAAAGAACACTTTTAACTGCTCCACTAAATGGAACCTATATTGTCTCAATATATAATGAAACCTCGCATTACACGCAGCCTATTGTCTTCATAGAACTAGAATAGACTAGAATAGAACTTCTATTCTAGTTCTATGATTGTCTTTTTAGAGTACAATGCAACGCCATATCGACAAAATGTTTCACGTTAAGTTGTTACAGGTTACGCGAGCGATTGCCGTTTTTAATTATAAACTGGCCATTGTGACCGGGGCTTCATATGAAATTGTGGGAGTATGCTATAAGCCAACATCTTACATTGTAGACATAATATAATATAAGCCGCGTTCACACGGTCGTGATTTGGCTCAAGCCAAATGGGCCAGATTTGGCTCGGGCAAAATTTGGCTCGGGCCGGTTTGAGTCGGACGAAAATCATATAGTTTAAATACATCGTTTCAAATCAATAAAATCAAAGCAAACCCATCTCCAAACGCGTGAAAATCGACAGCTCGAGGACCAATAATATAAAACCCCTCTTGTGAAATTCAGATTATTTAATATACCTTTAATAAGTTAATAATCGACGCGCGCAAATCGGCATTATCCTCACATAGTCTATTTCAAGTTTAGAAGCAGCCAAATGCATCACGTGGGATTAATCAAAGACATCGCCACTAATTATCGAACACGTACAAAGAAGATAGACACTAAAGAAAATTCATGCTGCCGCAACGCAAATCGTAAAATTCCTCGCGCTATAACTAATGGCTGAAAAAATACACTTCGTAACTAAATGGTATAAAATTCACTCTCGTAACACTAAGGGGAACAAATTCGCTATGTAAACGCGACGGACTGGATATTCAATTTGCGTAAAATTTTACATGCGCGTCCTTTTTTCAAAGTCAGAGCAACATGGAAGGACAGCGAAAATGCATTCAGCCTCCAACCAGGATAATCAGCAAATACTGCCTGCTCTGCGAAAAATTCACTGGCGAGATCCTGAGGGCTTTAAAGCTTCTGAAGTTCGACGCATGTCTGCATGACAGCGCACGAGCGATACTATACGCTCAGCCTCTTAAACTACCTGCCGTAAGCGCCCTTCGTGCCAAATTATGGCGCTTAATCACAGTCTGAACCATCACGTTGTATATGTAATGCTAAAAATATAAGAGATAAATAAATAATAAAATAAAGTAAATAATAAGCAGATAATAGTTAAAAATAAGATAAAAAAAAGCATAAACAAAATAAAAAAATAATTAAAATACAAGTTCATGGCAACTCCGAGAAGAGTAACTTAGACAGTCAGCGGGCGCGCCACAGGGGGCAGGGGGCGCCGTCGCCCCCCACCCTATCAATTTGAAATGAAAAAGGAAAGAAGAAGAAAGAAAAAAAAACAAGAATAAGAAAACATGAAAAAGAAAAAGAAGTAAGAAGAAAAAAGAAAACATCGTACAAATAGTCTTGCCAAAATGATGGTGGAGGTGGGGGTCACCCCCCCATCATTGCCAAGAAAAGGTAAAGTAAGAAGAGGCATCTTGTAAATAATAGGGGGATCGCCCAAAAATGTGATGAGCCTACAAAGCTGGACACTTTAAAACATCGAAAATATCGAAAAATTAAGTGTCGAAATTCAATCCATATCAAACCTGGCTGCTTATTTGATCAATCGATTCAAGGTTATTTCCTTGGAGTCCCAAGTTGGACCATCATGTGCTCGATGATGCTGTTTCCCGGCGGAAAGTAGCCCACTTGAGGCTCGTAACAACTTATAAAATTATAATTACAAGCGTTCACGAACGGACCTCTAAGAATACTCTTACATCTATCTTCATTTTTTACCTCGCCACGGAATGAGCCGGATTATGTATCGGGCTGTGCGTTCGCTGTAAACGTTAGCGTGTGTGTGTGTGTGTTGCCGTGGATGTGTGGTGTGGCACTGTGGTGTGTGTGTGTTGGTGTTGTGTGGTGTGTGTCGTGTGTGTTGCTGACCCAATCGATATTAGCGCGTCAGCGAGCGACCAACCCACAGCCGCGCCCTGCCTGCTGACTGAGCGCGCGCAGCATACATGTACGGCTGGCGTATATCGTGTTATTCTGTGTGTTCGTGATCGTATGGCGTATGCTATATGTCGCTGCGGATGTATTCTTTCTCCTGAGTCGCCCTCTGTCTAGTTTTATAGTGCTGCCGTAGTCCTACCGCACGCCGCCCGCGTTGCGCTGTGCTCGTGCTTGTGTGCGTTCGTGCTTCATCTCTCTCCGTCATGTTTTTGCTTCTCCTCCTACAATTAATACAACATAATTAATTGTCCAAGTGCATACAGAGCATAGATATTAAAGCATAATCCACTGTTCCCCCCCCCATATAATACCGAGACCCCCTCTTTTAAACGTCGTTCCAGTTCTTCATAGCATGAACTTTCAACGAAATCCTCCATACTAGCTTCCGAGACCCCCATTTCGAAACATAGCCGTTCCAGAGCCATACCACATTCAACAAAACATTAGTTCCAGAACACCATTTAAGGTCTGCAGTTAGTTCCAGAGCCCCCCCCCCACCATTATAACTCGCAGTGGCACCATACCAATGACCTACCATAATGGGAGTCCCCCCCCCCCCGGGTTTCATCTCCTGTATGTATGTTGCTCCTTGGTTCCCTGCACAATTTTTGTCACAATTTGAGGCGTTTATTAGCTAAAATCTCTGAGAAGCTCCCCGACCCCTGCCAGGGCTCTGCCCCTGCGACCCCGCCCAGAGGCGCACTAAGCGCGGCCCCTGCGCGACGGATCATAACGCTTGCGAAAGTGATTGCGTACACAAGTTTCTACGAAGCTTACTACCCACAACGTCGTATGTGCCGATTCACAACGCCAGCGTACCACCTGCGACCGCACAAGCTTGATAGAAATTCCAGTGTAAATCCACTACGCCATTCGTAGAGCTGTGGCTGGAGGCCCCGTGCCCTACCCATTAAACAATCACACTGTGCGACACATACCATAGGAACCAAACGACGCCTCTCCTTGTATCGTCTACTCTGTCTACATGAGTGCTCGGATGTGATAGTTCACTCATTTGCGTGTGTATGATTGTGCTTCAACACTCGATGAAAGCAGCACACGTACGCGTGCGTCGTGCGTCGTGCACGTTACCAACATGCGTGACGCGCGACGCCATGTGCATCTACACGTGCGTCGCGTCCGTGTGCACGCTACACGTGCCGTGCGGTGTGTGCACGCTACACCTGCGTGCGTGTGTGCACGTACACGTGCGTGCTTGCCTGACACACGGCGCGTAGCGTCGTACTACACGTGCGTGCTTGTGGCACTACAACGTGCGTGCGTGTCACGTACAAGGGCTGCGCACGCGTGGCACGTACAACGGCTAACTACGAACTCGTGGTTTTTATAACGAAAAACCCCAATGCGCCAAGCTATGACAAAAAAAAGCGTCAAAGGCCCGCCTGTCACTGTGTAGTAGTGGTAATTATTATTAGTTTTATGAGAGGAGCTAATTTTATAAATGTTTCTCAATAAAATAAGCCATGCTGCGATATGTGCTGGAAACACCTGCGGAAATTTTCTAGTTGTTTACGGCCACCTCGTCAGCTCGTGCTATAGTTACGAAAAGCTTTACTCAATTTAGATTGATGAATCCACCTAAAA